CTCCTAAGCACTTGACCAGTGTCACTGCAGAACAGCATTTCACAAGACTGAGCCCCAGGGCCACAGCACTAATCACCTTGTGGCCAACCTGCTGGTTACAGCCCTCTGTGCTTAGTTAAACTGGCCCCAGAACAGCAAGAACACTCTGTCACTGGGACCACACCAGCTGGGTGTATCTTGCCAAGGCTATGCTTCCTTGGCACAGCCTTCCAGAAGCCAGGGTGACCTACATGCTAAGATGAGGCATCTGAGCAGGGCCTCTGTGAGACAGTAACAATAATAAAACATTGCACAGCACTTCGCAAAGTACTCTCTTCACAACAACCTTATGAGTTACACAACACCAGAATTATTGTGCCCATTTCTTCTAGATGAGGAAACTGAGGTTCGGAAATGTGAGGCGACCCCCTTAGAGTCACATAGAAAGTCACTGTTGGAACCAAGATTCAAAGATTCAAACCCAGGTAGGGTGATTCCTAGTTCTGCACCCTTTCTATTATGCAATGCCCTGAAAAATTATCCTCTTTGGAAAGGGGGCTTGGTAATTTTTTTCTGTTGTTAATAGAAGTCTTCATTTTAAGTAATGCTCCTCTCCAGACAATTTCATCTTGCCATCAATGCGATACAGCAGGTAGTCTGATAAAGAGATTCCAGATTCTAAACTTCCTGAAACAACAACAAGGATGTAATACTGCATAACTGCAGGAGACTCATTTAGCCTCCTCAGGAGTACAGAAAATTGAAACAGAATTAGGTCAGTCAGGTTTTTCATACAGATTGAACAGTAAATCAAGAGAGGTTACTGCTCTGGCAAGAAAGGGAGTTCCATTAAAGGCAACAGATATTTGTTCAGGTCCAGAGGAGAAGTTTATGATTCCTGTAGGAGAGTTATTTGTACAGAAAATGACACTGGTACATTCTGTTCCTTCAAGTAGCAAGCAGTCTAACACTTGGGGTGGGGGGTAGGGACCTCAACATGATATTTTGGGCAACTCTGCCTATAATGGGACTGCTTGGTAATTTCTGAGAAGGCATTTTTGTATATCAATAGAAACAATATATGACAAAAAAATCAAAAGAAATCTTATTTTTATTCTCCTTCATAAACCAGAATGATCTTGTACTTACATCAAATCCTGAGAGGATGTAAAATAAGACAGAATATGTCAATGATCGCATTCTAAAATAAATCCTTATGGGAACAAGCAATTTATAATCTATCTATACCAAAGTCTGTGGAATGGCGTTTGAGTATTAATTTAGTAAAAAAAAAAAATCAATCAATCAATCAATGTTAGGTAAGTAAGTAGAGGAAACACTTTTCAGTCATGTATGCAACAGCTTCACTTTTAATGGGATGCCTCCAAAGAACAAATATGAGCAATATATCCAGTTGTATCATAAAAAGGTGAGAGAAGAGTGAAAATTTACAGGCATCCTCCGAGCTCTGGGACAGTGCAGATGGAGGGAATCTGAGTAATCACTTGTATGAAATAACACATTGAAGAGACATAATAGTGATTACTGCCTCAGTTCAACCAGCAGATTTCCCTTAGTTGTCCTATTGTGTTGTATAACACCCGAGCACGGCCAGTTTCTATACAGAGAACCTTCATTCCTATAAAAGAGCCTGCCTTTTGTTGGTTCAAGGAAGCTTCTACTACCCAGAGCAAGCTCATGATCCTGTGACTTTCCCATATAGACAACCCACTCTGAAAGAATTTTACTGGAGCTGTCCCCTGGTATTACGTGCATAAGCTCTCCCCATTTATCCCTTTCTGTCACTTTGATAAAATTATTTTTGCTCCTATGTATCTTTGTAGGTTTCATTGTCTAACTGTTCTATTATTCCCAAATTTGAACTTTCTCTGATCCAACAAACAGCAGGAAGTATTTCTATACCATGCTTTCTTTAAACAGCTGGGGAACATAGCAAGTTAATCAAAAAAGAAAATATTCTTACTTTTTTTTTACTTACTGTAGACAAGGTAAGTAATATTCCTAAAAGTAAAGAAATGATCATTTTAAAAGAATTTTCTGACATGATTTTTGCCCAAAGTAAATGTATCCAATTGCAAAAGAGGGATCACTTAAACTCTGCTTAAAGTCTTTCAATGAGGAGCCTCCTTGCATCTACTGGAGAAAATGCTAAAGGCAATGAACTCATTCAAATCATAAGAGGATCACAAGAGAAAAAGAGTTCTTAGCTGCCTTTCACAAATGCTTGGGGACTTAATCTAACCTTTTTATAACAATACATTTAACTAATCTCTACCACTGAGCAACTTATCTTCATTTAAGCAGAAACTGGCTATTGCATCACAACCAAAGAAGATAAAAGATTCTCCTTATAATGTTGCCAAAGCAAACCAATCCCTCTGCCATAGATGATAACCACCACAGTTGTGGCAAAGGACCATCACACTGTGTGGAAAGACTAGCTGCTTAGATTAATGACTTCAAAAGCAAAGCAGCTTTATAAAAAGGGAGACATTTGTTGAGTAATAAAAGAATAAAGAAGAACCATTTCACACAATCCTCAGAGCTCATAATTTAAAAGACACTGACAGCTACAATTTCTTATTAATGCAGGATTGGAGGGGGAAAAATCTTTTTACACATTAAACTAGCTTTAAATTATGCTATGTAAGGCTGTACATTATGCATCTGGGGCCATTTGTTAAGATCAACATAGCACTTTACTCTCAAAATGGTGTTAAAAGTGAGTTCCTTGTAAGCATGGTACCCATTAAAGTTCTGGCACCATCTCAAACCCCAAAAGAAGCCTAATAATGTGCACCTGGGCAGATTACACAACATTCCCCAAAAGACAAAACCTAGGGGAGGAAAAAAACCCAAATGTGATAAAGTGAAAAGTTTATAATAATAAACTTTACTATATAATAGTAAATAATATACAATAGCAAAAATATACAAATAGTAAAGCAATTAGATATAAATTAATATAATTATATATAACTTAACCATGTAATAATATTATAAATTTTTATTTATTATAAAATAATAAAATGTATTTAATAAGTACACCACAGTAAATCACACATAATAAATAATAAGGTAAGTTTATATATAATAATAAAATTCTTGTCACTATGCAATATCTATCAGTCTATAACTTGATGGTAAATATGATTTCATAGGTATGAAGACTGAATGGAATGTGACCCATGGCAGGAATATATCAAAGTAATCATATAGGGATTAGATAAAAGGTATGATGAAGGTGTAGTAAATATCAAAAGAATACATTCCTTCGTGGGAATTCATGAACTAATTGTAGGGGAGGTGATAGTGGAGTATCTTTGGGTGATGATCAAAGAAAGCAGGAATGGAAGCAATGCTGTGGGGGTAGCACACCAGGCCACAAAGAACTCACAAGGCTGGCATAGAGGCAGGATATGACGCGGCCGGGGGGGGAGTGTTCTAACTTTGAGGACACCAGAAGTTCTTTCTGTGCTAAAAACCAATAATTTCAGAAATTCTTTACTTGGCTCACTGATAATTTCACCTTTCAGGAAGCAGAAGAAATGAGGGGGACTGCTGTCCTGAACCTGACTGATCAAGAAAAGCAATTAGCAGCAAAAGATGAAATAAATGAAAGGTGCTTTAGAAAGAAGTGAATACACTGTCATAGAGCATATGATAGATATAGAGGAAAACGTAAGGCACAGTTGGCCTCATGATCTAGAGTTCTGGAGAACAGATTTGTTGGAGTTCAGAGAAAAGATAGATTCTTATGACCTACCTAACATTCTACAAAGGAAATTGACTCAAGGGGAAGGAGAGGAACTCCAGAATGAAATTCTGATGACATAAACACAAATGATTCCAATGAAGAAGAAAAGGAATAACTGTCTGAAAAGATGAATGTGGCTCCTCAGGAAACTTGTCAACAAGCTAGAATTTTCAAAAGACATAAGTAGAAGATAGGAGCCTGCTCAGATGACTGAGGATGAATACAAAAGTGGCATGCCTCTGTAAGAGAAATGTCAGGAGGACTAAAGCTGAGAATGTTGAGGCTTTTGATAAACACTAAAATAACCCCCCAAAATGTCTTTTTAGCTGTAATGAAGGCAAGAGGAAGATCAAGGACTGGATTAGACAGCAGTTTGAGGTAGATGGGACATTTGGGGATAAGTAGAAAGAAGAAGAACCATTCAATTCCTACTTTGCTTCTGTTGTGCCTTCCAAGACAAAAGATTGACCAAAATTACTTAGAGGAAATAAAAAAACTAAAGATGAAGAGATGGTGGCAAGTAAGTTCCAAGATGCCCAAAGGGAGTTCACATCACCAGGCCTGGACAAATGGGTACATCCCCAAGCTACTGAAAGGACTTAAAATATTATAACAGCAGAAATGCTGCCAGTGATCCTCAAAAAGTCAAGGAAAATGAGAGCGCTAATACAGGACTAGAGACAGGCAAACATATTGATTTCAAAAAAAGTTAAATAATAGATACTTCAAAGTGCAGGCTAGTGACTTGACTACAGGGTGTTAATTGACTTAAAGAAAATTGTAAAAATGATGATCGGGCAGTGTGAAATTGTAAGTTATTACTATTATTCATTTCTACCTGCACCAGTGTTCTTTCAAACATTTTCAGTAACATTAGGCCCCTCCCTTCATTTCCTTCTTGGGTCACCATAAAAGAAAAGCAAAGAGATAGTAACTAACAGCTGCATTTTTGGAAACGTGGTAAATTACAAGTACTCTAAGAGTAAACAAAAGGAGGCAGCATAATACAGTGTCAGTTTGGAGTCAGAGGAACTGGATTCAGATAAGTCCTCTACTAGCAGCTAGCCATATGACTGGGGAAAGCACTTAAGCTCTAAACCTCAAGTTTCTTGCCCGTAAAATGGGGAACTTGCAAGGTATCAAATGAGATAATGGCCTCAAAGCACTTGGTAAACCTGAAGCATTATGAAAAACTGAGTTATTTATATTGTTAACATTGTTCATTTAAACTTTAATTTCTTACCTGTATTCTCTCTCCTGCAGTATTTCAACAGGATCCAGTCCCTGTGGTTTCTGAATAGGGCTAATCCGATTCTGCTTTTGCTGCAGCTGAACCACGGGTGAAGGTTGCCCAGGGGTTGGCTGGGGCACAGAAGGTCCAGGCAGGGCAGCAGCCGGCTGAGCAGCTGGAGGGGCTGGTGAAGGCCTTCCACTTGGAGGTGGAACTGCAAGCTTTTGTGGGGTACTTGGAACATTCATGTCTGGTGCTTGGCCTACAAAATTCAAAAGCTTCATAAATAATAATGATCAGAGGCTTAACTTTAGCCCATACAAATAATAATAGCAACAACTGACCTCCTTGAATATTTAAGCAGGAAGGGCAACCATCTTAAATACCTAAAACAAACAAGGTCTGACCTCTGTCCCTATAGAGTTCACCCATGAGCCCTACAGAAAGTGAACCAAAAATTACTGTGATGTAACAAACTGATTTGGACTTTTAGATTTTAATGTGTCTAGACACTAGGTTCTCAAAAGGAATTACAGTTGCACCCAAGGCTCTTGAAAATTAGGAAGCAGTACAGCAGCCATTAGATCAAATGTGGAGGCTACCCTCATATCTGTAGAGTGAAATGCAGAGCTGTCTTTCCCAACAGAATTCAGTGCTAACTTGCAAGAATCATGTTAATAGAGTTCTGATTCTTTGTCCACAGAATTACAAATATGATTAGGTTATGTATTTTTAAAGTAAAACCAATTCATTCATTTTTATTGGCTCTCTAAGATACAATTCAACATTTAAAGGTAAGTATATTCTGGACTTTTAAATAAATAAACAAACAAACAAATTAATGAATGAATAAGTAAATAAATAGATGAATGAATGAATAAATAAGTAGATGTATAAAGAAAATAAATAAGTAAATAAATAAATATATATCTTAACACTGCCATAAAAAATGTCCATAAATATTGTATAACATTTTTAAAAAATCCAGTAAAATGCCTCTTTCTAAAAAATTATCAAGCATTAAGATATAAAAGAAAGATTTTTCTCTCAGGTTATCAACACAAAAATGTATGCACATAGGCAAATATTCTGAGGTTCTACATTTAATGAATTAAACTTCTTTATTTTAATGTAGAAAATATTGTGCAACACATATTGAATATTGCACATATTTTTAGACTTTTTCAATGTATTGACTATGCTAATTTTTTCTCTCTTTTTTCTTTTTTAAATCTTGTCTTTAGAAAATACTACTTGTTATATGGCATCCCTCTCTGGGAGGTAGATGGGGGATGCTGGGAAAACTATTATGATATAAAAAAGGCATCAATAATAACTTATTTTTTTAAAAAAAGAAACAAATGTGTAAAAGTAAAATGGGAGTAAATTCTAACTACTAAACAAAGGCCAAAGGAAGGACTTTTTCCCCCATCTGCTAGTTATCTTCAGTGCATTTTATCTATTTTTAAATTCTGAAAATTTTAAGTGAGCCTACCATGAATAAATAAAATAATTCAAAGGTGGGAATTCACATTTTGATCACTACTACATTTCATTCTCCAAGTTCTTCATAGCCCTCTTGAGCGAAGCCAGCCAGGAAACTTATTCAATGACAAAAGGAACTGATCTTTTAGAACCCAAAGAAGAGAATAATGAAGGATGACATAGTGATTAAGTATAATAATTTAAAACCTATTATTTTTTAAAACTGTGCACTTATTCAATCTCCATTGAAAACCATTTTGGAAATGGACTTAAATTAACACCAACGTTAAAAGTTATAGGAGGAATTCTGGCAAAAGAATTGTTACAAACTAGAACAGAGTACCAAAGGAATATAGAACACTTTCTTAACTACATATCCATCTGCCTAGAGAAAGCCAAGAAAAAATGAGGTGAAGATAGCATGATGGCACAGGTATGACTAGGTTACCACTTTAAGTTATTTCTTAGCTCTTTGTTTCTTATGTTCTCCCAAAAATCTGTAGCACTAAGAAATGTATTGACAATTACAACATTATTAGAAAGAGATTTTGAGGTAAGCTTTTTTTTTCCTGAAAGTAAGCTTTTATAACACACACACACACACACACACACACACACACACACACACACCCCTTTTTGTAATACTTCATACTTATGGATTCTTTCATCCATGTATAACAAAGCAGTATAAAAAGATTAAATCTCAGGGCTGTTAAGCACTGAAATGAGTTGCTGAGGTAGGGTTGAGAGTCTTCTTCCCTGAAGGACTTTAAAATAGGACAGATTTTCATCTATATGGCATGGTTTAGGTGTGACCCAGTCCAAAAGGAAAGGAGATATGCACCACATGATTTCTAAAGTGCTTTCTAAACCTATGATCCCATGAATCCTCACAACATTCCCAAGAAGCAAGTGGCACTCATTATGTTTTAAAAACTCAGTAGATATATTTGATATACCTAAAGTGCCTGATGTGTAGGCATGATAAATAACATTTTTCAAAGAATCAGTTTTCTAACTCAAAATCTTGTGGAAGTGAATGTTGGAAACTAAAATTAACAAATTAATTGAAAATTTTTTAAAAGAAAGAAATCCCCCCCAAAAAAAATTGGGGGAAGGACGAGATGGGGAGAAAATTTGGAACTCAAAATCTTGTGGAAGTGAATGTTGGAAACTAAAACTAATAAATTAATTAAATTTTTTTTAAAAAAAGAAACAAAACCAAGAATCAGATTTCTGAAAGTTGTTAAGAGAATTTTCTTAAACTATAGCTCCCAAAATATTTTTGCCTCTAAAACTAGGATGCATATCACAAATAAAATAGATAAGAAACTGTTTAAAAAATGCTATAATATACATATTAGTTACTATATGTGATTGTGCTCACCTGTTTATGGTTTCTTTCTGTTAATAGTGATGCCAGTAAAAAGTATAAATAAAAGTGGCATGCTGTAATAGTTCTTTTAGTTGTATTCACTTCTCTGATTTTAAGAATTGTATTAATTTTAGGAAATGTAACCTAGGATTAATCTATAGTCCCCACAAATAAAATCAATGGAGTTAAAATTAGAAGAGAAACAGTTAACCAGTTTAAAAAAAAACTATTTTGCAGCAAGTTTTTCTGATAAAAGTATCATTTCTAAGATGTATAGGAATTGATTCTAATTTATAAGAATAAAAGCCATTCCACAACTGATAAATCATCAAGAGATATGAACATGGGATTTCCAAAGGAAGAAAGCCAACTTAGCAATAGCCATATGAAAAAATGCTCCAAATCACTAAAAAATTAGAGAAATAACATTTAAAGCAACTCTGGGGTTCTACATAATATCCATCAGATTAGCAAAGATGACAAAAAAAGGAAAATGAAAAATTTTGCAGTGACTGAGGGAAAACAGACACACTAATGCTCTCTTGGTGAAGCTTAAAAGGCAATGTGACACTAGGCCCCAGAATGGACTCAATGAGATCATTTCTAGGCCTAAACCCCAAAGAGATGAAAGGAAAAGGAGTAAGTCCTAAATACACCAAAAATTTCTACAGCTGCTCTTTTTTAATGACAAAGAGGCCAAGGTCTCCCACTGCATCCGGGGCCATTACCAGTCATCTTAACCTCTCTCTTGCCACTGAACTCCGAATGACTCTGGAGGAGAGAGTGAGGCTGATGACTTTGCACAGCCCTGCCTCACGAAAATCCAATTCACTTACAAGTCAAGACATCACCCTCCTGATGTCATTGGTCCTCTTTGAGAATGAAGGATGAACAACAACAGTGACAAAGAATTGGAAACTAAGAAGGTGACCCTCAGTTGAGGAATGAGTGAACAAATTATGGTAGATAATTGTGATGGAATAATATTGCGCCATTAAAAATGACAAAGGGATGGTTTCAAAGAAATTTGGGACAACTTGTAGGAACTTATGCAGAATTAAGTAAGAAGAACCAGTAGAACAATGTATACAATAACATTATAAAGAAAACAATTTTAAGCAATTAACAATTCTGGATCAATGCAGTGACCAATGAGGAAGCAGGCTACTCACCTCCAGACAGAGAGGTGATGCATTCAAGGCACAGAATGAAATATACACTTTAGGAAATAACCAATGCTAGAATTTGTTTTGTTTTAGTGTGCACATTTCTTACAAGTTTTTCTTTATTCTTGTTTTGCAATGGGGAGGGGTAAGAGGAAGAGAAAATAAATGTTCATTAATTGAAAAAATAAAACAAATCTGTAGTCTTTTGTTTGGGAATCTATTTCTTTTCTTTTGTTGACCCTAAAATCCATCTAGTATGGATGGCTAGTTTTCTAAGCCAGCTGGCTGACATACAAAAATCCTTACCCTGCTGACTCACCCTTATGGCAAAGAGTTGAGAAATCTGAAACATGGAATTCTGTACCCTGAAATTTCTGGATTAAAACTAAAGAAGATTAACAGAATCTCAATGCTGGAAGGTATCTCCAAGGCCACCAACTGAATCCATGCCAGAAGAAGTAAGCCTTCTCTAATTTATCCAACAAGTGGCCTTGCAGTTGCTTGAAGAATTCCAAGAAAGGCAAACCTCCTCCTGAGACATCTATTCTACTTCTGGATAGCTCTAATTTTTAGAAAGTTTTTCCCTACATCAAACCTAAATTGATTTCCCTATAATTTATAATCCATTGCTCACAGTTCTGCCCTGGGACCAAAGAGAAAAAGACTAATTCTTCTACTAGATAGAAATTTCAAATTCTTGAAGATAGCTATCACTTCAAAGCACTGCCTGTGGAATCAAAGGTCTTGGGTTCAAAACATGTCTCTATCACTTATTACTGCTGTGACCTTAAGCCACAACTTCTCTGGGCCTCAATATTCTCATCTATATCATTAGGAGGCAGGACTAGACGGTCCATATAGTTCTATATCAAGGTTTCTTAACCTGGGATATGTGAAGTCATTTTTAAAAGTATTTTGATATTGTATTTCAATAAAATTGGTTCTCTTTGTAATCTTGTGTATTTTATTTTATGTATGTAAAAGCGTTATTCAGAGAAGGGAAACATAAGCTTTCCCAGACTGCCAAAGGGGTCATGCTACAAAAGAAGAACCCCTTCTCATGATCTATGATCCTCTGTTCTCCTTCTTAAGTCCTTTATTCTCTAGGCTAAATATTCCCATTCCTTTAACCATTTTTCACAAACCCAATGGCCCTTCCATTGGACACTCTCCAGTTTATTAATGTCTTTCATAAAATATCCACCCATAACTAAACTCTCCATCTGATCTGCCAAGGCATCTTCTCTCTAGCCCCAGATGCTATACCTCTTTTAATGCAATCTAATTTAATAATCTAATACATTAGCTTCTTTGGTTGTCACATCACACTGTTGACTCATATTGAGCTTGTAGTATCCTAAAATACCCAGATCATTTTTAGACATCTAGCTTTCCCATGATATATTTGGGGAGTTTATTGTTTTTTGGGGGGAACTCAAGTGTCCAACCATTATTCCTACTAAACTTCTTCTTATCTAATTCATTCCACAGCTCTAGCCCAACAAAAGTTTTGGGATCCCTGATTATTACCCAATGTGTTAGCTATCCCTCCAAGACTTAAGTCATCTTAAAAGTTGATAAGTATGCCACATATACCCTTATGCAAATCATTTACAAAAATGTTAAACAGCCTAGGGCTAATAATTGCTCTCTGGGGCACTTCATTAGAGTTGTCCTTCCAAACTGACACTGAATCATTAATGAATATTCTTCATATTCAGATTTGTGAATATACCTTACCATGTGCATAGCTCTCCATTTTATCTCAAATACACTAACACATGAGGCTTTTTCAAACTATGAGCCATGCCCCCAAAAAGAAAATTAAGATTAATGTGGCATTATCTGCTCTTGCCAGAGCCATATGATCAATGCTTCCATTTCTAGAAGGTCACTAACCATCTTCTTAATACTATATCCTGGAACTTTGCCAAGAATTTAAGTCAAGCTCAGTGGATTAGAGTTTCCAGATTTTATTCTTTTTGTTTTTGGAAACTGTAATACTGACCTTTCTACAGTCCTGTGATACCTTTCTTATTTTTTCTTTTAGGCAACTGGGGTTAAGTGACTTGCCCAGGGTCACACAGCTAGTAAGTGTCAAGTGTTTGGTCTGAGGCCAGATTTGAACTCAGGTCCTTCTGACTTCAGGGCTGATGCTCTGTGCCACCTAGCTGCCCCTTGTTTTTTTTTTTAATGGTCTTTCAAAGATCAAGAGCAATGCTGTAATCATATCTGCCAGCTCTTTTCAAGAAGCAGTATAGTATTATAGAGTGCTGGGTTCATATCCCAACTCTGATACTTAGTAGCTGTAGGACACCTAGCAAGTTGTTTAACCTCTCAAAGCCTCAGTTTCTTAGTCTAAAAAATGGGAATAATACCTGTGTGCCCACTTCAGAGCTTGTTGTGGAGGCTTAACTGAGAGAACGTTTGCCAAATGCTTTGAAAACTTTAAAATACTCTAAATATGGCCATTACTATTATCACCTAGCATGTAGATCATCTGATTCTGGAGATTTGGACTGATCCAGGCCAGCAAAGTGCTCTCTTAATATCTCCCTAATTACCTTTGGTAGTGATTCTCTATTAGCCATTTTTGCTCTGTCCTTTCCAGTCCTAGCAGTTTGCTCGACTATGAATAGTCCATTTGAAATGCTCTGGAACTATATGTGATAAATTATGTCAGGTAAATGAAAAATATACTAATTTGCTTCACAATTTATGGGCTCTCTCCATAAGGAGAAAGATAAAGGAAGAGAGGCCTATACATTTGGACAAAATTTGTTATCATACGAGCCAGTATTTCCTGGGCAAATATTTATGGGGCCAATTTTAAAAGATGCAGAATCTCCCCTACTACACACATACACACACACACACACACACATACACACACACGATATTATTGTAAGTTAACAGAATTTCACACCTTCATTTGCAATACCTCTTTTTGGTTTTATGTTTGTAATTAAATGCTCATGTTTGTTTATATTTATTAGGTTCATAATTTTAAAAAATATATAAATTTTAAAAGATTAAAAAAGACATAGTTCCTTCTTCAAAGAGCTTACCATTGAATGAACTCTTGAAATAAGCACCACAGAAGTGGAAATCTGATTATTAAGAAGATATCATGTATTCTCTGACAATCTGATGCATACTTGGCTCATTCATCATCAAAGGAATTTCAGTTTCTAACTAAACATAAACATGTTTATTGTATAATATATAGTTCTTGTTCCACATTTTGTGACGACTGGACTGCAGAGTTCACTACAATTAGCTATTGCTCATGACATAACAGCCTATCCATTAGTTTTCAAGCTTGTCCCTCAGGCAGCTTACAAATTTCACTCTGTGCTGAAATGTTTCATGTGTGACTGTCTAACAGGAGAGAAGATATCTCTCATCTTCCCAAGTAATTCACAGACTGATAAATGACACAACATTGCTCGATACCTTAAAGTGGGGAACAAACTCCTAGTCTCTCTTATATACAATTTAACTTTGTCTGAAGAATTAAATGCCTACTCCTTTACCTTCTGCCCATGTTTTAGGAGTCATTGTAGATGTGTGCCCTGGAATCCCTGATGTCTGTCCTGGCCCAGCTGGAGGTGTGCCAATTGGATGCATCCCTATGCCTGAATTCAAGAAATAAGGAAACAAACTTATTAAAATACATAGTCTTACATGCCCAGGATTTCTATGCATTGAGAAATCACACTCTGCCTTCTGGCACACAAGGATATTTATGCAAATAACAGTTTTATGCATTAAATACGGATTTAAGTATATTCCACTGGGTGGAAAATAAATGTAATGAAGTGTATTTAAATTAAGCATACTAAAAAATAACAGATAACAAAAAGAAAGGTACTGAAAAAAAGGCCAATAAAATTATCTGAATTTCTACCTTTCCTGAAAAAAAAACTTTTTTTTAACCCCTTGTTTCGCTATTGCTTTAATCTCTAGATGGAAGAGTAAAGCAAAATGAAAAGAAAATTCTGGGGTCCATCTGAGTAGAACTCAAGGCAGACAAGGCCATGTTCCATTAAAGAGCTGCTGACACTCCTCAGGGACAACTACTAAAGAGTTATTTCATTTCAGGTTCTTATTTCTGGACTAAAATCATAATTCTCTGTTGTTAGATGTTATAATGTCACATTTGGAGAATTATGACTTCAAGAGAATTATTAAAAAAAACTCAGCAAAAAACATCCTATTTTTAGAGTTTTCTACTGATATATCTATCATTAGTCTATATATGATCTACAGACTGAATAGCAAAAAAAAAAACCCCAAAATGGACAAAACCAAAAATGTTTTAAATTAGTTTGAGATCTATGTAAGAGCTTTTTGGCTGTCAAAATTCCAAAATATGATGTGAAATGTGGTTAAGAACTTAAAATGTTTGTTTGCAGTGGTATCATGGAATCAAAGATTCCTAGATCTAGAAATGAGAGAGACCCCTGAGATCAACTAGTCCAACACCCTGACATCACAGGTGAGGAAACTAAGCTTCACATAGAGAAGGTAGAAGCAGCAAAAGGAGAAGAAAGAGGAATGGTCAGAGAGATGAAATGAAAATAAAGGTGGTGCAGTATCAAGGGAGAAGAGAGTTCCAAGAAGGGTCATCCATAGTCTTGAATGCCAAGGAAATAAAGGACTGGGAGGAAAGTCTTGGAAGGTCAAGAAGAAGTCTTTGATGGCTTGAGAGAAGCTGTTTCAATGGGGTAAGAGGGACAAAAATCAGATTACAAGGAGTTCAATGATAGCATAGAGACAGTAAATAGAGATTGCTTACTTGGTTTATAAGTTTGGTGGTAAATCAAATTGGCAAAGATGATAAAAGATTCAAGCAGTCAATGTTAGAAGAGTTGGTGGGAGACAGGCACATTAATACGATATTGGTGAATTTATAATTGGTCATAGTTGTTTTGGTCTAAATGTTCTGAAAAACAACTTGGAATTATGTTAGTAAACTCACTAAGCTATTCTTTGATTCTGCCCACCACTGAGCATGTACTCCATGGAAGTAATAAACAGAATATATACCAAAATACCCCTAGCATCACTTTTTCTGGCAGTAAAAAAATAACAAAAACAAAAACAAAACAGAAAGGAAGTGGGTGCCCATCTATAGAAGGATGGCTGAACGAACCAGGCATATGAATAAAATGGACTATTACTGCGCTGTAAGAAATGACAAATGTGAGGAATTCACAGAAGCATGGGGAGACTTGTGCTAAATGATGCAGTGACTGGAGTTTAACCAAGAAAACAATATGCACAATGATCATAACAATGCAAATTGAGAACAATAGTGAAAGGCAGCCAAACTCTGGTTAATTTTAATAAACAATCTTGGCACCAAATAACACCAAAATATATTCCCCTTTTCTTGGTGGTGAGGTTTTAGAGCCACCCCTTCCCCCATGTACTCTTCAGTCCAGTGATCCTGGCCTCCTTGCTGTTCTGACTCTCCAATTCTCAGCTCAGTTGATTTTTTTTTCTTTTCTTTTCTTTCTTTCTTTCTTTTTTTTTTCTTTCCTGGCTGTTCCCTGTGCCTGGAATGCTCTCTCTCTCTCCTTATTTCTACCTCCTGCTTCTCTGGCTTCCTTCAAGTCCCAGCTAAAATCCTAATCTACAAGAAGCCTTTCACAACTCGTCTTCATTCTAATGCCTTCCCTCTTTTAGTTTTTATTTATATTATATATAGTACTTTTGCACATATTTGTTTGCTTGTTATCTCTGCTGTTAGACTGTGAGCTCCTGAAGGCAGAGACTGACCTTTGCCTTTCTTTGTACCCCCAGCACCTAATACAGTGCCTGGCACATAGTAAGCACTCAATAAATGCTTACTGACTCACACACACACACACACACACACACACACACACACACACACACACACACACTGTCTCTGCTGATAGAAGGTAAGCTCTTTGAAGGAAGGGCCTGTTTCATTTCAGTATCCCCAGCACTTAGCAATAGTAACCAGTATCTAAGAGGCACAAAATAAATGCATATACTGCCAGATGTTTGCTGGGCTGCCGAGTCTGATTAACCGTTTTTGTTTATTTGTCCTTCCTGTTACAAGGGAGGATTCTGCATGGAGGAAGGCACACATAAAAAAAGCCAAAGCCATGAATAAAATCTAAAAACAAATAAGCCAAGGCTCAGAGAGTTCTCATGACTTGCCTACAGAACAAAGCAGAACCCAGGCCCAAGTTCTCTCCATGGTAGTGCTCCGGATCCACACTGTCTCTTTGTAAAGTGCATTTACATCCTCTATCTCACCTCACAGTACCTCTGTGGGGGTAGCAGTGCAGGTGGCATCATGCCAACCTTACAGATGAGCAAACGAGGTGCAGACAGGTTATTAAACGACTGGCCTGAGGTCACAAAGTTAGGAAGCAGAAGAACTAGAACCCAAGCCCAGGTCCTCTGACCCTCGGCCCAGCAAAGGCTTTATGCATAGATGAAGGAGACAGTCCAATACAAGGTTAGAAGTGCTAAGCAACACCCCCTGCAATCCTCTGACTGGTACCACGAAGTCTATAGTTAAAATGCAAATACCTATGGAGAGATATAACACCTTGTTTTATTGGGCATTTATTTAGAATAACGTAAATGGCTTTACTAGATTCTTTGATACGGGTAAGTTTGGGTAAGTAGCCATACCTAGGCTGGAAGATTAAGAGTGACCTTGTGGACAGAGGGGAGGAGGGAACTGAGAATAGGAAACAACAGACAACATCCCCCCACTTAGGCCAGTCCCCCTAGAATTTTCTAGTACTAGCCTTGTTACATGTCTTGAGTCAGGACTTCCCTGTACTCTAGCACTGCTTCTTCTCTGAAATTGAACCATACATTGTACACGTAGTTACACATTAACCTACCAGATGGTCGGTTGAAGGTGACAAGAGGTGGTTGTTGTTGCTGTATGCTAGGCAGCGTCCTCTTCCCCTGCACAGCTAGCTGCAATGTTTCGGGTAGTGGCTGGCCTCTGGCCAACATTTTGTAAGCTAAAATTTGAGCTCGGAGCTGATGCAGCTGGACGGGGCTGAAAGGTGAAGGGCCTCGGTTGGGTTGGCTCATAGCCTGAGGATCTCCTGCTATCATGGGTCCTGGCTGGCTTGGAGGCATCTGGGGCGGAGTTGGACCCCCTCCAGACATTGGGCTGGAGACATGTTCTGGGGCTCCCAGTGGAGACGGGTGTGGAGACATATAACCTGAAATAAAGCACAGAAGGTATTAGAGACTTACTATGGAATATATTCAGGTTCATTTCTGGAAGGTTTACCCAGTTAGCAGCTATACTAATATATTCATTCTTATTAAGAGGAAAAGGCTTGAAGAAAATGATTGTATATGCATCATAGGTTTGCTTTTGGTAACACAAATCTCTAAGTAAAAAAACAATATGAATATAATTTCCAAAATTTGGGATGTCTAACCCATACAGACCAGAATGAGAAGTATCTATCCTACTCTCCAGAGTTATATAAGCAAGGGAAAAAAACCAGAACTGTTGAAAGCAATCAGAAATTGGAAAATTTAAACACTCAGTAGAATATCTGAGTAATGTTTCTGATTAGTCACAGTAAAAGTTGTCCTAAAACACAATACTAAACATATATAATAGACATTTCTTTGCCCTATATGGAAATATACCCACCCAACAATCTTGTCTAATGGCAATATTATCATAAAGCTTTTTTATTCATTTCCATGTGACAAGAATTTATTAAATGCCTTTAGTTTGCCTAACACTGCGCCCACCTTGAGTCAAAACAACTATGTACCTATCCTGAAAGTAAGTGTAAGAGAGAAAAATAAAAAATTAAAAAAAGAAAAAAAGAAAAAAAAAGAAAAACAACAACAACAACAACAAAAAGTAAGTGTATGAGAACAATTAACTGACCTTATCTAGGGGACATATTAACAATGCAAACTACTGGAGACTTTCACTGAGACAAGATACAGTTATTCCTTCCATGTTGCAACTTTCCACATCACAGTTTTGATATATCATGGATTGGCATAAGAAATTAAGTGGGAATTTGGGGGGGAGTGGAGTTTTGCGGAAGCCACAGATGACCTTTGAAGGCCAGCAGATGACAAAGAATCTATGGCCAAATGCTTAACTCAGATTTTACAGTAAGGTACTGTAAAGACCCCATAAAAGAAAAAAGAAAAAATTCAGACTTCTTCTCTGGTACAAAGAGAAGGCCAAAAATTTTTGCACCGATTTTCCAAATCACAGGGGCACTGCACTCCTAACTCCCATAATATGGAAGGGATAACTGTACATACAATTATTTATACCAGAATTATCACTTAGAAAGGGAAGTCGAGAGGCACCTAGGTGGCACAGGGGATAGAGCTCTGGCCTTGGAGTCAGGAGCCCCTGAGTTCAAATTCTATCTCAGACACAACACTTACTAGCTGTGTGGCCCTGGGCAAGTCACTCAACCCTGATTGCCTAACTCAAAAAAAAAAAAAGAGAGAGAGAGAGAAAGGGAACTAGAAATAATATGCTCCTCAAAGATTTCTGCCTAGCATTTAAGTAAATTATAACTAGAAATATTAAAGTAAATTCTACAACAGAGATAAATGGGGATAAACAAAGTCATTTTCATTTCCAAAATCCATACTTCATCTGTCTCTTCCTCTTCTCCCACATTGCCACCTCCTCATACCTCCCTGTTGAGAGAGATCAAATACTGAGATCTTCTTTTATCTCCCTGCTTCCAATTTCTCCTTTCCTCAATCCATCCTACATGAAGTTACTGAAATTATACCCCTGATGAACAGGTCTGACCAAGTTCCTTGTCTAAAAGTTTTCAGTGGATCCATGTTGTTAATAGGATAAAAGAAAATCTTAATAATCTGGTATTTGAGGCCTTCTACAATATAATAATAATTATCATTATCATTATTGTTATTATATAGCACCTACCATGTGCCAGATGTATGCTAAGCACTTTACAAACACTATTTCATTTGATTGCCACAATAACCCTGAGAAGCAAGGGCTTTATTATCCCCATTTGATAGTGGAGGAGAGATAAACAATGTTTTGCCCAGGTCTTACAGCTATTAAGCGTTGGAGGCCAAAATTGAAATCAGTCTTCCTGACTCCAGGCCCTATGCTTTATCCATTGGGTCATCTGCAATCTGTCTACAACCAGCCTTTCTAGCCTTAAAATACACTATTCCCCTTTAGATATTTTCTTTCTAACCAAGGAGGACTGTGAAAGCTCTGCCTCTTCATCTATGGGTTATATCTCCTAATTGGAGAATGAGCTTCTTGAGGGCAGGAACTGTCTTTTCTTTTTTCCATTTATATCTGCAGTACTCAGCACAGTGCACAGAACACAGTAAGCACTTACTAAATGCTTTTTCATCCATTCAGTCAATATCTATTTCTCAGAATTCTATGCTTCCTTCAAAATTCAGCTCAAGGGCCAACTCTTCTGAAAGCCTTCTCTGAACTTTCCAGTTCTTACATAAATAAGAACTCTACCTCCTCTCATTTTCCCAGAGCATTTTGTCTAGTCTCTCCCCGGATCCTTTCATTTCCTTTTCACTATTTTATTTGTATAGTTTACATGATGCATCCTTCTACTAGAATGTGAGTTCCTTCAGGTCAGTTTTATCCTTGTTTCTCTAGTTCCCAGCACAATGCATTACATGAAATGTGCTAAATAAATGTTTGCTGAATTTCTACGGGAGTAGAAAAAAAGCAAAGAAAGTAAGATGATTATGGGTTTCATTCAAATCACAGAAGGAACTTAAATTAAAATCTCCCCAAAATCACGTTTCCAAAACAACCAAGTACTAGAATTCCATGACTGTTATTTTTCACACCAAAAAAATTTTGCAGAACATCAGTAATATACTAAAGGATATAGTCTCCTTATATTTCAGTTTATAGGACCCATCTTTGTAAACTTTCCTTAAGTAACCCATATCTTTGCCCCTCAATGATCATTGTACTTCTCAATGATAATTCAGAGATACTATGGAGAGACCTCACTTGATCTTACCTCTATGATACTGACTCTTAAAATGGAGAAATTGTACCAGTGTCATTTCAATTTTCATAACTGACATGATAATGCTGAAAATGGGAAGGGTCATATGCTTCACATTTCTTTCATTTCCCAAAACAGAGCAATGTTTTGATCTCTCAATTTTGCCTTTGTATCCCTGTGCTTAATGAATTTTTGTTGAATGAATGAATTTTATAAGCTTTGCTATGAATCCCAGAATGCCTAATACTGATATTGATAACTTTAATGCTTTAATTAAAACACTATTAAAATTATCAATAACTTCAATTAAAGAGCTAATGCAAACATGAAATAAGTAATAATCCTGCCTATAGGAAACATAAAGTTGCATTACATATTACAATAATTCTTTTCAATATGACCCAGAGACAATGTTGTTTTCTCCATTTGTTTCTATTAATGTAGCCAAAGGAACAAAAAACAACTATGAAGATTTCATATTAAGAATTGTAAGCACAATACACTCAAGTTTTGAAGAGTGAACCAGTCGCCTGAGATATGAATGCAACAAAAATGCAAACTCTCCTTGGAAAGAAATGGAGAGAAGAAAAACCAATTTGGGATATTTCCACTAAGTTAATGGCAGACTTTTGCAAAATCATTGCTGCAGTATGACATTAAAAATGTGACAGTATGTCTCAGCTACAGAGAGATATTCTTTCTACATGACTAGCATCCAGTAAATTTAAAGAAAAGCAGGATCTAAATGATGAAACTGCATAACTTATTTTAGTAATTATCTTTAGTTGAAAACACAGAGTGGATGAATTGCCTGTCTCTGAAAGCAGATATATATTTATCAATAGGATGACAAAGTAGTTGCAGATTCTGCTTTTCAAAATCATTTTGGATTTGCTCATTCAAAAGTAAGAAGAAAAAAGAAGCTGATTTCCTTCTCCCATCTTCAAGACCTATCATTTTCCCAGTCCTATCCTCACTAAGAGAATAACAAGAAATGTTCTCTTTCTAATAATCTTGAGAAAGTAAGTACTGCAGTGTTGAAATAAATTTTCTCTTCACAAAGCCTTAAATATCATATACCTATCTCTAAAGATTTTTTATTTTCAGTGTACTAACAATAATGAATATTACCTTTCTTTGAGACCCTAAGTTACAAAATTCTTTAATTTATTGAAGGAAAATCGATAGCCTAATCAGTTGCTATGTACCAGAAGGGGTCATTCCTCAAATCACATCACATTTAGTCATTGCTAGGGGCGTATATAGTTTTGATTTTGATCCAGCCTTGTGATTTGGGAGATTTCTAATGTGTAAACTCCCTTCATCAGTGTACATGGGCAACACGTCTCTAACTTAAAGTCTTGGAGAGTTTCCTGGGGCATTTTCCCTAGGCAGGTTAAGTGACTTTGCATGAACACACAACTATTATGTGTCAGAGAAGACTTTACTATAAATACTGAGACAGACAGATAGGAAGAGACAAAGATAGATAGTGCCAGAGCCAGAGAGAAACAGGGGAAACCAGAGCCAGAGATAAAGAGACAAAGACACAGAAAAACAAGAGACAAAATCTGTCTCTAAAGAGAGACAGAAAGCCAGAGATAGAGAAAGAGAGCACTAGAGACAGAGACAGAGATAGAGACATAGAGAGACACAGAGAGAGAAATAGTGACCCAGAAAGAAAAAAAAAAGGAGATTTCAACAATCCTCTGAAGTATGAATCAGGATTCAAACCCAGGTCTTTCTAACTTTTAAAGTCAGCATATATCCACTATTTTACACAAACCATGACAGTTACTAGCTATAAAATTCTAGACAAGGCATTTAACCTCTAAGTCTATTAAATTAAAATTTTAATGGGTAAAGAGATTCTCCACACGGAGCTTTTCAAGCTGACAAACATTTAATGCTTATGTATGTACACTGATTTCCTACCATCTGACTGGAAAAAATACACTAGGAGATATACTTTTAACATTTTTGTTTCTTTAGTGTCTGCTTAAAACCAATTTTAAAATGCTAAATAACACACCACTTTAAACAATTACTGTTCCCCACAATTATGTGCCTTATAAGTCTTTAATAAAGATACCAGATAATCCAAATCCAGTTTATCACAGTTCCTGAGACATAGTAGGCACTTAATAAATGCTTGGTAATTGGCTTAATGATTCAAATTCCATTTTATCCAGTACCTAACATTTCAAATTGACAAGAATTTACTATAGTTAAATATTAGAAAGTAAAGTTGGATAGTTAAGACTATAAGAAGAGAGAGAGAATGATATAACATTTAACACCTTTAACCTGTAACCTTCCAAGCATTTTATGAAAATAAAGTCCTATATTCATCCTGTGACTCTTTATTTGGACATTGAAATTAAAATGGTATTTTTAGAAGTATACTGAATATATCATTTTTCTACTCAATATTGGGGAAAAAAGGTGAAACCATTTTAGGGTAGGGTTTTTTTTTCAGTTGGTTGTTTTATTTTGACAAAATCTGTGTTCAAGATTCTGTCACATCTAGGATATTTTATGACCATTACAAGCACTTCAGCTCCTGGTCTGAGTACTGGCAAAGACATGTCCAAAAACTACTGGAGAAAGCATTCCCCAGATTCTATTATTCCCCATACTATTCTACCACAAATATATCAAATTTCTGTTAAAGGGATTTTTCTCCTAATCTCATGATGTTGCTCTGTTGACAATGATACTTTTTCGGTTATCTTCAAATTATAGGATCTTTTTAGTAGATAAGAAACTACTTTCCTATTTAAATTTCAAAGGGATAAAAATTATGAGCCAAAAATCTTCCCCAAGACATATATATGTGTTATGAATACAAAAACTTTTTGACTGCAAGATAGTCAATCAAAATGGAATACATACAAAACATGAAGACAGGCCTTTATATAACAAATGTGCAGCTGAGTGGCACAGTGGTTAGGGCTCTGGGTATGGAGTCAGGAAGACTTAAGTTAAAATCCATCCTCAAGATACTTAGTAGCTATGAAACTCTAGGCAAGTCATTTAACCTCTATTTGTCTCCAATGCTTCAACTATAAAATGGGGTTAGTGAGGATAAAATGAGACAAAATGTATGAAGTGCTTAGCACAGAGAAAGGCACATGGTAGGCACTATATATATGCTAGCTATTTTATTATTGTTTTTTACTCCATGAATACTTAGGTCATAGTGAAAAGCAAGATAAATAAAGGTCATTACTGGGCTAAAATAAGGAAGGGGGTACAATACTTGAATTCTGCAGTTCAGGAGTTATTTTCCCAGGTAACACTTAGGAAAACAGTCACACACGTCAAAATAAGGATGACTTCTCTCCTTCACAGCAGGTTCACAATTTGAGTAACAGTTGCTACCAGCCTGTTTCCCCTCCACCTTTGGACTCTGACATTCAGACAGTAATATTCATCTAGAAAATGCATCCATTGGCGTTAAAAATAAGATTCTATTGAAAACGAGAGGTAAAAATGCTAGCTTTTTGTTTGACACATTTTTCCAGAGATGATATACACAACTAATTGCTAAGCTTGCAAGACAACAACAACAACAACAACAACAACAACAACAACAACAAAAAGGTGCAGCCAGAATAAACCTTGGCTATGTTGATCCATTGGACTCTGAGGTGGGCCCATTCCAGGATGTGGTGGTCGCATGCCCGTGCCCTTCATGGAGCTACAATGTAGATCTTCAACAATGCCTTTGTCGTGCATACCATCAATGGACTGAAACATTAAAAAACAAATAAACATAAATTAGATACTTCTTTAAAATACAGAATTTAAACGTTTTTGAAGGCTTAGGAATCTTGCTCATCAGCGCCATACAATCAATCATTCATTATTCATATATCCTTAATTTGCTTTTTAATCTATACCTCACACATGGAAAAATTAAGACAGATACCTGCTTTCAAGTCAGAGGTCAAAACTCTAGGCAAAACAGTTGGCTTTTTAAGCCAATGTCCTCAAATAAAACTTAGGGCCTGCTCAAAGTGTTGACAAATACAATGTAAGAAGTTTCCCCATAGCCTTTAAAGTAAGTTTTGAAATCTGTTGTTTCGAAGTTAAAGTCTGGAGTAAATCTGAAGTAGGAATAACTGGAATGCCTTGACTATTTTTGGCTTTTTTTTTTGTCTAGTGCAGAAGGGAAGGAATTCTGGAAAGTTTTAACTTGAAACCAGAAGATTCCATGGCAGTTGGGAATAGGGAAACAGTCAGAATAAGGATGGGGGTAGGGGAGCAAACACTAGGGGAGGAAGAGGTTGAAATAGACCCTATCTGGAAGGAAAACTTGAAAGCGTGTCATCAGTTTATGGGCCAGGAGAGAAGAATGAGATGTATACTGTAATACTAGTATGACTAAAGGAGATTAAAGAAAAGATGGGGGAAAATGTGTGACATAGAGGACTAAAGCAGGTAAGTAAGTCCTAATTCACAGTAAGAACCCAATAAATACTCAGTGAATCAAAAGAAATAAAATCTGGTCAAGAAATAAGCAGTTCTACCATACATACATACACACACACACACACACACACACACACACACACACACACACACACACACATATATGAAGGAAACATCCAATCTTCTCAGATGAAAATTCAAAAGTATTTAAGAGGAATACTTTCAATGAAGAATTCAAAAGAAATTTAAAAAGTAAGGATGAGTATCTCCAGATTAGGAAAAATAAAAGCTTCAATCTTAAGGAATCTCTATTAGAAGCTTCAACTGAAAAGAAAGGAAGAATACAGAACAACAGGGCATATGTATATATGCATATAACATATGCATATCAGGATTCACTTTTATTTATAATAATAGAAGGGGGAAAAGTAGACTTTGGAGAGGGGAGAAAGGCAGTTTCTAAGAATAAAGGGAGAGAAATTTCCTGAGAAAACAATCTTAAGTCCCTGAATCTTGTCAGCAGATTCAGGGGCCACCTTTTTACCAAGGCAGTCACAAAAAAAAAAAAACCACACAAAAAACTCCACAATTATCTATCTTGAAAAAAATACTGTGAAAGCAGAAAAATTAGGTTAGCAAAAGAAAACAAAAAGAAATGTGGAACTTAGAAAACCAAAAAAAAGCACCTATAAGAAATGGAGCTTAGAGTCAGGTATAAAGAACACATGAGAAGAGGGTGCTGGGTAAAGGAAATTAGCAGGAAGCAAAAGAAATAAAGTTTTATATTTAAAAAAATCTACTGCACAGTGGAACAACTTTAACTGTTGATAAACCCTCATTTACATAACTAATATGCCAAAATAATGGCATAGGATAACTAGGAGAGGGTGACAGAATTGTCTAAATATTCACAGACAACCTCTTGGAGCAGCGAGTTCTCTATTACTAGAGGGGTTCAAATAGAGACTCTAACGAACACTTTTCAGAACTATTGTAAAGTGGGTCCCTGCCTGAAGGCCCCTCCAAACTCTATGACTGATAAATAAAGAACATTTCTAAACACTTGTCTAAAGTTGGACCAAAAATATTCTGCAATTAAGTATGTGAAAGCCAGTATTATCAGAACTAACGCTTCTTTAACTTAAAGACAGGGAATAGCAAGCTCATTTCTGCTTGCTAAGAACTTTCATTGAGTCAATTATCTTAAGACATAATAAGCAAGAATAAATACTTGGAGTATTTTCTCTGATCTCTTTAAGTCCTTTATAGACTATACAAATATCAATGGAAGGAAATAGTTAGGGGATAGTTAGCCTGAAGAGGCAAAAACTTAGAGCAGATGTGATAGTTGTCTTCTAGGATTTGAAGAGGTTATCATGGGGAAGATGAATCAAATTTATTCTGTCTGAACCTAAAATGAAGAACTATGCTTGATTTCTAAGGAGAACCTTTCTAAAAATTAGAGCTATTCAAAAATGCCTTAGGAGGTAGTAGGTTCCCCCACATTGGAAGTCTTCAAGTGGAAGCTGGATGACTTGTTGTCAGGAATGTAGAAGAAATTCTTGTTCAGGTAGAGATTGTACCAGACAGCCTCTGGTGTCCTTTCCAGCGACAATGATCTGTGACTTCAAGGCTGAAGTAACCACTTTCTCCTATTTGAAGGCTCTGCACATTAATGAAGATATGTGAAGATTCTACCAAAGATTTTTTGTTGTTGTTTATTGCTCACTTTCAGAGAAAATTGCAATAAAGGATGCCATTTGCTTTCCCAAGAGGCCAGTTGTCTTCGCTGATTCTAACAGAGAACTCATGATGCTAAATTTGTACCAATACAATCATCCCCACAGCAACAAGTCAAGGTCATAAGTGGAAGATTAACATTATTGCAGGATCAAGCAGAAGAACCTAAGCCAGGAGTGGGGAACCTGCAGCCTCGAGGCCATGCCGCAGGTGCCCTACTCCTGACTAGGCTGTATAAGAAACAAGAGTCCTTATTCAAAACTGAAATAAAAATACCTCATAATTAGTCCCAAAATGTATTTTTTTTAAATTTCTCCTTGGGGGAAAAGAAGTATTATTTTATTCCAGTAATAATCCTCCCAATTGAAAAACAGATTTCACTCCACTAAAAAAAACAAACCAACCTTAGTAACTTTTCTTTAAAATATTTGTGTGTATGTGTGTGCATTTTATACACACACACACACACATAAATACATATATATGTATATACATGTTGGTTAGGGAAGTAATTCTACTATTATGTTTCTCTAAATTTTCTATCAGATGATACAATTCTATTCAAGTAAGTTTTGAAACAATCAAAAATTCACTGAAAAAACCCCCCACTACTCCACAAAAACACCTCATGTCAAAATTCTATTTACAGTTTAGAAAAGAAATTTGACAATCAGATTGAAAACTCAACCTAATAGTTGTAAAAGTTAAGTTCTAACATTTCTGATTTATATTTACTATCACTAATAATAAAGGTAACTAAGAATTTAGATGCTCTTTTGATGACGCATTGGACAGAAATGACTGTAACCTGATACTCAGAAGTGTTGACAGTAGAAAAAAACTTCATTTTCTTTTTATCAGAAAACTAAACAGCTTTGACTCATAAGTCAAAATGAATGAGAACATAAACTCTTACCTTGTGCATTTGGTGCATTCCTTCCTGTGGAAAATCAGTGGGCCCCATTGTTGGCATTGAATGTGGAACACTGGGTGGTCCAGGACTTGGTCCCATCATGCTGTGCACTGAACCTGGAGATGGCCCTGGCCCTGGACTGGGTCCAAGAATTGGTCCAGGGGAGGGTCCTGGCCCTGGTGAAGGTCCAGGGTGGGGCATTGCACCAGGATCTGTTGGCGTGGACATCTATTCTTTGTCTTCCAGTCAATTGAGCAGTACTAATTTGGACAAAGAGGAAAAAAAAAAGATATTTAATATATGAAATTAGGATTCATGGAGTATGACTAGTAGTAAGGATTATATTTGATAATGCTGAAATGGCCTTTTCCTTTTAACAGACATTTCATAAAACTGACCTATCTGTGCCAGATAGTTCAAAAAATGGTATATCCATCTGTCTTAGTCTTTTATAAAGGCTACTGCTGAAAAATATATATATAAATGGTTTCTAGAAAGTTATGAATCATCTAGGATATAGAAAATACTCCCTAGGGAAAAAAAATCAAATTTAACACTTCAGCAGAAAACTAAAGAGGTGATAAATTGTGATTCTTTATTAGTGTAGTCCTCAGAAGCTTCTACTTCACTCATCAGCCTTTGGGTGCAAGAGTCATTTATTTAAAAGAAAAAGTTACACAGGCAATTCCCCCTTTAGTCTATGGGCATATTTATAAGAGTCATTAAAACTAAACAGGTCCTAGCCATTACAACCATGCCCATAAACAGATAATATCAAACTAAAATCCATTTTTATAAGAATATGGGAATTTTAAAATGTTACTAAAAGTTCCAGAATGAAACTTTTCCAGAAGGGAAATGGAGAGAGGGAGATTAGCCCAATATTATAGTTAGAGTTACAAATATAGAAATTTTAGCCTAATCACAGGTATCTCAATTTGTGCTTTACCGGATCTGAGGAAGAATAAAAGGGTAGCTGAGAGGTGTTTAGGTGGATGACAAATGACTGAAGGGCTCATTCATTGTTTTTAGTTTGGTTGGTGGGGGTGGGGGGTAGGGAGGGACTGTTTTCAGTTAAAACAAGGGAACAGCCTTACAATCATTCACTAGTCTTGGGCCCTACATATGATAGGCCTTTGCCATCAGTGTGAACTAGGAGCGCAACCCTACCACTTTCCTGCTTTGATATAATGCAGTAGGAGCAGTATCCCCAGGCCCATGTTGTGAGCTGCCTTAGGCCAGTGAGTGGTTTTTGTCAGTTTAGTAAATAAACTGCCTTGGATGTAGTCCAAGTTGGACTTGCCTTATACTGAGTTGACTCTATATATAGACATCATAACAACATCTTGGAGACACGCACTAGGATATACTGGGCCTATTCTCCACAGATTTATCACAAAATATCACTTTAAAGAAGGGCAAAAGGAATACCCTAGATTATATAATCCACTCAGTATCCATACCTATTTACTGACAAACCTAGGAGGAGAGTCCTAAACTGCTGTCTTGTACACCAGTGTTTCTTCAGCTAATCACAATGGAGTAAAGAGAAGCAAAAGTAGTACTGCCTGCTCTGGGACCCTGCTTTGTTTCCCACTAAGCCATGGAGGACATTTGGGGGTGACATATTTGATTGGAGTTATTTTGACTTTTGAAAATGAAAACCAGAAAGTGTCTGAAATATGCCAATATAATGCATTCTTAGCAAAAGTGTTGTTTTGTTTTAAATAGAGAAATGAATGTAGGGCACTTAACAAATAAACTGGATGAAAGAGTGATATTGAAAGCCAAAAAGGTTGGAAGGAAGGGATAATAAAAGACTGCTTTGGAATGAATAAAAGTGGGTTTTGTTGCTAGAAAATGGGATTGATAAAACAACTGAAGTGGTTTCTAAAACAACAGGAGAGCCTAGAGAGTGAATTATAGCTCTGAAATCACTAGAGAGCCAACTCTTACTATTTATTCTATGTGATTAACAAAACAAACGGAAGTAACTTCTTTTGTAACCCTCCCCCACCCTTCATCTCTCTCACACACAAACACAAATACACTTTTCCAGTCAGCATTTTTAATTTAGAAGGCTGACGTCAATGGAGTGGTATTATAAGTTATACTATTCTTTCATGGATATCAGTAAACTAATATGCCCCTTTACTTTTTAAGTGAATGAAAGGAAACTTTATTTCCTGTGATAGTTTACCTAGAAATCTGTTTCAGTAGATGTTACTAGTATAATCCAATGATTCTGAAAAATAGAGCTACAAACACTTGTTTCATAAGCCCAATATTTCTACTTTTAATAGATGCTTTTTAAAAAACATTTTACTATGCCCCCCCATAATACTTTATGCTTATTGTAACATTTCCATTTTGGAGTCTTCAAGGATTTTATAAATATTAATATAGAGTGTAGTTTAAAAAAAAACTCATGATTTTTATGGGACCAACTACTAAAAACTTAACAGGAAAAGTTCTTAGAAGGCAAATCAAGAATTATGAACATATAAATGGATCCTAAAGACTGAAACATATCATACAGGATAATTTTTAAGGCCAAAAGCATTGGAGATTGCTACTAAAATAAAATTATTCTAAGATAGATATATGCATATATATATATATATACATGGAGAGAGAGAGAGAGAGAGAGAGAGAGAGAGAGAGAGAGAGAGAGAGAGAGAGAGAGAGAGATCTTTCTTAGAGCATTTGGACATTTTAAAAACTTTAATTAACCCTCAGACCATCTCTGAAGAAGCCCATTTTCCTGAGAGATAAGCAGGACTCTATCCCATCATTGGCATAGTAGAAAAAGTATTGGATTTGAAGACAAAAGACTTGAGCTAGAATTCCAGTTGGGTCACTTAACTAGCTATGTGATTCTGGACAAGTGGCTTGCCTCCTCTCCCTACCTCAGTTTCCTCCTCTGTAAATGTCAATCTGTAAAATGTAGATCTATATAAAATGCCTTTCTTGCTTTAATGTGACTCTAAACAAGTCCATTCTACTTTAATTACTTTTCAAGCACCTTTAAAGAGGAAAATGAGTGAAATAAATTATTAACCACACTCTAGACAGATGAACTCAAGTACAGGTTAAAAGGGCATCAAAGACTGGAACCTAGCATGAGTTCACTCCTCTAAAAAATGACTCAATTCCCTTACACAGCTTTTGGGTTATCTTTGAGACAACGTATCTACAAAACTAGATGATTCAGAAGATGTTAATCAATACAGAGCTTTTTTACTCTCTTTGTTAAAAACACCCTTCCCTTCCTCCCCAGTTCATTTTGTTTTCTATTGTCTACATAGTTTATTAAGTAATTTTTCCAATAAATTAAGTGACATCTCAAAATCTGTCTCTCTTTTTCTCTGTCTCTGTCTCTCTCTCACACACAAACGCCTGTAAAATATTCTTATTCTTGTAGCAAAGGAAAATAGAAGATAAGGAGTGTGTGGAACAACAACAACAAAAAAAAAGGTTTGGTATATCTATCAGAACCACTTTTTGTATTTGTCTGCCTATGTTGAACTTAAATTGGTACTGTTCAAGCTGTGTCTCTTGACTTATTCACTACATACTATGATTTGTCCCATTCCACATTATGATATATTTAGTACGTAAAGATAAAGTTTTTGAATATCTTATTAATGTTCTATAAACACAAATACTCATCTTTTCCTATTTCATTATCTGTTCTCGTTGAGGAAAAGTTCACAAACTTTTTAAAAACACAACATACCTAAAGAATTTTGAATTAATGAAACTTCATTAATTATTAATTTCTTCAGAGTAACATATGAGACCATGAGACATTGCTGTCCCTTTTAATAGTGTATTGAGATGCCATCTATACCTGAATGAAAGGTGGTAATATGATTTCTCTGAGGTTGTGCTAATCCAAACAAAAAATAACAACAAACCACCTAAAGGGCTAATTGGGGCAACTAGATGGTGCAGTGGAGAGAGTACCAAGCCTGGAGTCAAGAAGACTCATCTTCCTTCCTGGGCTCAGATGCTTACTAGTTGGGTGACCCTGGGTAAGTCACTTAACCCTGCTGCCCTCAGTTTCCTCATCTGAAAAATGAGGTAGAGAAGGTAATGTCAAATTGGTCCAGTATTTCTGCCATGAAAATATCAAATGGGGTAATGAAGAGTCAGACACAACTGAATAATAATAAGGGGGCTAATTAGCTCTCACATCTTCTAGCACTATCTCAAAATGAACCTTGCCAGAAACCAAGATTTATCTTCTTGGTGATGCCTGCAATGCAATTCAGGCTCTCCCAACATAAGGATCTCTTAAGAACCAACTGAGTATCCAGCAAAAAAAAGGGGGAAAAAAAGGCAGTTTGAAAGGAGGCCTTTAAAAGAGGACCCTGAATGCTAGAAAAGGAAGCACTCAAACAAGGCACACTTTAGTAGAGTGCCCCTCCATCACAAGACTCATGCCCCCTCTGTGGCTCTTATGGAATGCTTACTTATCAGGTCATATGAGCATCCTAACATACTAAGATTGGATTAGCCAATTTGTAGTAATTTGTAATTTGTAGAAAGTACAATAAATAGCTCCACAGAAGAGCATCTTCAAATGTAATGTCTCATGCACTAATTACCTGAATTCAAACTTGCCCTTTAGAAATTATGTTAAGGCTTCTTCCTGGTACATACTCATTTAAAACTTATTTTGATCACTTGAAAAAATTGAGTGATACCAGTTACATCTCTGTTTAGTAAGAAGTTTAAAAGTGTACATTAAAGCTATGGAAGTGATTTCAGAAAATAAAGCTTTTCCTCCCAATGGCATATTAATCGCTGAAGTTGTAAAATTCTATTATTCTATGCAAAATGAACTTATGAGATAGAAAGGACATGTATTATTTCTATGTCTTCTACTGATAACTAAAAATCAAGACCTTTAAGCTAATTTCTATTAACCAATAAATCTTATCAATGTTAATGGAGCATGTCCTAATAACCTTCATACTTAGACTACTACTCTGGCCTTTTAACTGGTATTTCTGCCCCCCAGAAATTCTTCCCCTACCCATCCATTCCCCCACACAGTCCTGGGCACCTATCCTGTAAATGGCTTCTAGGGTAATCAAACCAAATGCTATCTTTTGTGTCACTGATGTCACTAAACTGCTAGAAAACCATCAATGGTATTTGGAGCTTAAAGTTTTAAGAATGAATGTTAAAAAATTGTTTTTGCATGTAGCTGGGGAAAAATAAAATACTAAATAGGAAAATTTAAAAAAGA